AAAAAAAAAAAAAAAAAATCAGATAAAGAAGAATCTTATTCAATTTTATTAGTTTTCTTCTAAAATAAGACAGAGGTTTAAAAATGAAGCTTGGGGGCCGGGGATTTAGCTCAGTGGTGCTACTGCCTGCCTCGCAAGTGCAAGGTCCTGAGTCCAATTCCCAGTACCAAAAAAAAAACAAAGCTTGGATACTTACTGAGAGCGTTATAAACAACAGCATAAAAGAAAGCCCATCAGTACACGAACACAGTAGAAACCCCTATCAGATCCAACTCCTTCTATATTTTTACATACATTACTTAAGCTTAGCAAATTAACAAATCACTAAACTACCAAAAAAGCTTCCAATGTTAGACCAATGGTTTCCTTAACTTCATTTGCTATACCATTCATAGTACTTTCTCAGAAATATTATTTGATAGCTTTGAGATAGTGATTTTTTAAACAGAAACGGAAAGTCTCTTATTATTTTTCTCTAGTTTTCACCAAAAAAATAATTGCACTATACACCATCTATATCATAAAATGTGGACTTGTCATTTTTTCACATTCTTACCAAACTCAGCAACAATAGAGGCAAGGCCGCCATATACAAAGGGTTTCCAGTTCAGTCCAGACATCTCATGGCTTATAGTAGAACTTTTCTGGTGCTAAAAATAAACACAAATCAGAACAAGGCACAAAAGTGAGAAGCATTTGTTAGCACTGAGCATATAATTTAGATCAATCAACTTGGCAAACAAAACAGATGCAGAGGAAAAATTCCACAACTGGAATGACACTAAATGAGATCCTGTTTTAATGGGCTGGGTGATCATGAATCTGTTCTTTACTACCATTCCGTAGGGGTACGTGTGTGATTCATTCAAAGATCAATCCATGCCCTTCATTGTCTCTAATTTCTTCAATGTTTTACTCATCCCCACCCAAAGAGACCACTCCACCCAGAACACTCAACTTAGAATACAACTAGACAATTCCAAGGGAAGGAACCCAGAATTCAAATTATATAGGCTGAGGCATCTCATAAAAGCAGTTCATGGCGTTCAGTTAGCTTGATTCATGTGCAAAGCACAGGCTCACACCACTACTCTCTAATGTTCTTTTTTTTTTTTTTTGGTACCAGGGATCGAACTCAGGACCTTGAGCTTGTGAGGCAGGTGGTGGCACCACTGAGCTAAATCCCCGGCCCCTCTCATGTTCTTAGCCCTCTCACCTCTCCACTAAATTTTAGGGTTGGAGTTCATCCAAGAGCTGCATCTAGTTACATATAACTATGTGCTCTGACAAGGCCCAGGCTGAGCGAACTATCTCTTATACATTCCTCTGGCCCCCAGACAAATGACAGCAATGTGAATGATATCTCTCTTCTCTCTGATATTTAACATGCATCCATCTAGTGGAGCTCCTTTTCCTTCCCCCTGGCCTTTTAATAACACATACATACAAACAGTTCTTTTATAATTTTTTCTGCTCTCAGCTTACTTTTCCCTTTCCCTATGCCACCCCCATTAAATTCGTCATCTTCAATCTTTTTAGCTGTCTTCCCTTTTTCTGTCACACCCAGCCCTTCTCTCTTGGGTTTGATTTGTCCTCAGTTCTGGCCTCCAGAACAATGATTTTCAAATATTAGCAGATTTTAGCAAATTGTACCACAATCATCTAGAATGTGTATTAAAACACAGACTGCTAGCCTCTCTCCCAGTTTCTGATTGGTGGTGTGTTTGGTCCTGAGAATTTGCAAGTTCCTAAATAATGCTAATATTTGGACATTTAAGAACTAAAGCTCTAGGCATCACCTGCTAAATCCTGGTCCCACTGAAAGTACTATCTTTTCTTGGAATGGGCTCTGATTTCCTTTCAACATCTCTTTTTCAGAGTGTCACAGTATAAATACTTCTGAATTTCAGGAGCAACTTCAGGTGGTTTATGATCAGGGATGAAGACTCTGAAGTCAGATTACCTAAATTCAAATCTTCCTCCATCACTTGCTAGTTCTGTGACTTTGGGCAAGTTATTCTACCTCTCTATGCCTCCACTTTCTGGACTATAAGAATAAAAAAAACTACATCATATGGTTGTTGTAAAATTAAATAACATATGTAAAACACCTAGAAATGTATGACACTTCGCTCAATAACTATACATTTCTCAAACTTTAAACGTCCAAATTTACATTTTTTTTTTTGGTACCGGGGATCAAACTCGGGACCTTGTGCCTGCGAGGCAGGCGGCAGAATCACTAAGCTAAATCCCCAGCCCCCAAATTTACATTTTGACAATACTTGCTGATCACCTCCCCACTGTCAATCTAAGGGTAGATGTTTGAGTCACAATTTCTTTTTAGAAGGGACAAGGTTTTTGCTTTGTTGCTACATGAAAAATTCTCTGTAAGTAAGCAAAGAATACTTTTCTAGAGAGAATATCAAACATGCAGTGTGGTTGTTTTAGTTATAGGCCATAAAAATAAATGTGAAAACTTCCTTTCAAGAATACTACATACAGAATGTGGAAATGACCCCTTTTGAAGTAAAGTTGTTTTAAGAAATTCTAAAAAGCAAAGTAGGATGGGATAAGAGAAATATCAGCTACAGCCTAAAATAAGTCTTAAATACTAAATACTACCTCATCAATATTCTTAGCTATGCCTACATTTTAAGATTAGAATTAATAGTAAAACATGACACCTATGGTGTGAGAGCAGGGATAGGAAAGCAGAACCATGGCACATCCCTTGAATTTATGGGAAAAAAATCACTCTCCATTGACAAATGTAAAGATTTCTTGAAATAGTCTTAAATGGTGCAGATAGCTCCTATGCTTCTCCCCAGAACTTTCTTTTTACTTCTTTCAACTCTCCTCCTTACAGAGAACGCCTCTATCAGACTTTACTACCTGCTATCTAGCTTTTCAATAAGGAAGATGTGCTCAGAGTTCAGGGAGCAATAATGAATCAGTGAAAGGCAGGGTGCAGAGCCATAGCAGGGAGCAGAAAGATCAGTCACTTAGGTCAGTTAGACCAAAAGTTCCTTAATGAAATTTACATAATTCTGAGGTGATATGAAAAAATATAGACCTCAGGGCCTTTTTCAGCAAAATGCATTTAATTTAAAGTACTACTTATTTTTAGATCATATTCTTCTTACTCCTGGAGCATTAAAAAACACATTTCTTGTATGAAATAACAGTGGTTGGTATTTGATTTTGTTTAGTGTCATACTTGGCAAAATACTTTTGACTATATTCCTGGCCCCTAAAATCCAAGTCTGGGAACCACTGTTCAAATCCAACACTGCCTCTACCATCACCACCCTACTGGCATCTGACAGTTAAACATCTTTTACTCCAGTATTAGAAAAGAATACTGTATTATGAGCAAATCTTGTATAGTTTTTGATCAGGTCTCACTTTTTACAATCCTTCCTTACACTAGGCTAAAAGTCTGTCGTCTTTAATTTTCACGCAGTCTTTGGAGGCGATATTGAACAAATATATTCTTTTTTTTTTACTGAACATTTTTATTTCACTGCAAAGAAAATCACACCTCATGGCTAGCAGTTATCAAGTCAGCCACCCAGTAAATATTTACTTCCCACGTGTGGTACAATGTACCGAACAGCTGATACATCGAGGGAACGAATGCTTTGTTACCTGAAGCTTCTAGGCTGTGCGGGACACAACTGTAGCCTTGTGGCCAGGGCGTCTTTCTTTTTTTTTTTTTTGATTCTTAAGTTCTTTTATTGGTACATTTTAGGTATACAATATGTTTACATTTGTCATTGGGTGCTTGTACCTGTACATGACATATCTTGGTGAACAAATGTATTCTTTTTCTCTAGAGGAGTCCTTCAAATACTTAAAGAAAGCTACAATGTTATCCTAAATTTTATCTTTATCAGGCTAAATATTCCTGGTTATTTTCTTCATTCTATATATTTAGTTCAATTACTACAGCTGAAAATGTAGTTGCTTTTTAGGGGGCCGTATCACACTCCCGAATCATTAAATTCAGCTGCTACATCTCAGTCTTTTTAATACGGCTGTATAGATACATGCACATTATGTCACATCCATGCAATATTTTTTGAACTTTCACTTATTAAATTCAGGCATAAAAAATAAAGATTTGGATGAGGTTTATCTTCTAGGTGCACCACGTTATTTTTCCTCTTAACCAAGTAAGATCCCTGATGGCAGACAATATATCTCACAATATTTTTATAACCCTAAGAATAATAGTTTGTACAGATTTGAGTACACATACACAAAATACCTGGTTTTCCAGTGTGATCTCCTTTACCTACATATTCAACCTGTATAGAAAAGATTTCAGGGAAAACAAGAAAAGTAACTTTCTGGACCTGGTCAATGCTAAACACCCTGTACACAACACTGTCCTGATACCCAGACAGCCTCTGCCTATAAATTCTCTTCTCTTGCTTTGGTTTCAGAGAATTACTTGTGTCAAATACCCCAGCTTCTCTTAAAATGATTGCCTTGAGGGGGGGAGATATGGATATGGATAAAAAGAGAGGTCATATGTAAGTTAAAATAGAAATACAGAACCCTAAAATATTTTTATTGTATAAAGAATGCAATAAAAATTACCTTCAAGGGAAAGTCTTGGGTACTAGGAACAAGAAAAAAATTATCTTCAAAATACAGACATGTATTCTGAGAGTCTAAAGAAAATTTGATAATCTAACAGTAAAAATGTCCCACAATACAAATTAAACAGCACTACACTACTCCAAAGACCTAGTCAGGAAACTATGGTTGCCTTTCTCACTTTCTCCTCTAAGAAAAAGGAGATATTAGAGTCTCAGATTCAGAAGGTAACAAAGGAGAGCCAACAAATATTTATTGAAGGCACACTAAATGCTCACACCTGCAATAATCATGATGTTTTAAAAAACACAGAAATATGTTCTAACACCAAGACAATATTTGCCATTCAACCTAGCTTTCCTTAATAATTAAGGAGATGAAGCAGTGATAAAAGTTGTATGAAATATGGTACTTGCCTTTTAAGAGCTTATAATCTGGTGGAAGAAAGCAAAGTACTGTACTTCATTAGAGAAAAATTAAATGCTACACTATGTATTATAACGTAGAACAAGGAGAGCATGGAAAGGGAAACAAGCAGCATGAGCTTGAATAATCTGAAAAAGCTTATGGAGGTGAGAGAATTTAAACTGGGCCTTGATAGAGGGCAGGATGACTTCAAACAGGTGCAAGTAACGAAGAAGTAGAGGAGGTGACAGGATGAACAGAGACTCAAATGTGGGAATAAACAGAGAATGTAGAGATAAGCATCAATATGGTTTGTGCTGAGAAGCAAATGAAGAAACCAACTTGAATAGAGAATTCACTTGTTGGCTCACACCAGTATAAGGAGTAGGTTATATTGAAAGGGTTGAAACCAAGGTGTATGGGGAGGCATATAATTTTTATAGAGACGTTACTTGAGGAAATCCACCATATTTAATTAGCCTACTATGGATGCAGCACACACAACGGATGACAAACAGTTGAGGCAAGAAGACTGGCTTAGGATTGTGTGAAGTAATGCTTGTTGCCAGTGAGGTTAGGGGTAAATTTCTGAAATGGAGACAAAAAGGTAAGTACACCATTAAGTAATGAGGTATGGAACGAAGATGAGGGAAGTGTTCATGACGACTTTAAGCATCTCTAGCCTGACAGAAAACTATAAATGTCCCTGTTGTTACCTTGACTGAGAAACGATTTCATGTTGCTAATAGCTGTCATCCCAATCAAGCAACTGAACTGCATTTTAATAGATGCCATCAGCGCCTTGACATCAGAAGTGGCAGGGGGGAAAACTGAAGGGGGGCATCTTTCAACAGCATCCCTCACACTAATACAATGGAGATGTTTGCTTACTCCGCTTACAATCACGGCCGCCGTTGCAAACTTCACCCTTAGAAAAATTAGGATTATTCCAGGAAAGACACCCATTCACCCTCTGGGTAGCAGGATCTTGCCAGTTCCTCAGCTGTCAGAGCGAGTTCTCGGAGAGAAGGGAGGCGCCTGAAGGAGGCGGCCTCCCGGGGGGTCGAGGAAGCAGGGCTCAATCGAAGAAGTAAAACCACCGATGTCAGAAGAATGAAAGACAGGGAAGGGACTCGGCTGAGGGGAGAGAGAGACCAAAGGACCGTTAAGCCCCTCCCAGGGCCGAGAACCAGGTCAACCCAACCCCGCTCCCCAGCCTGGAAGTCCAGGAGCTCCCCCTCACCTGTTCGGGCTCTTCAGACGACTGGGAAGCCGAGGCTCCCACAGTCGGAAACGCTACCGCAACCGCAACCCGGAAGCACTGATACCAGCGGAAGTAACCAAGGCGTCGCCTCGGCAACGGTGGCGCAGCCGTTCTAGCTCCGCCCCTCCAAGACTAAAAAAGAAGGCGCGAAATAAGTGGCAGCTTCTTGGGTCAAAAGGTGGTTCTTTCTGGCTTCAGGAGCCGGGAAGGGTAAGGTCGCAAAGGCTCACAGAGGGCAAACTGACTTTAGGGAGGTATAAGGGAAGGGAGCTAAGGCGTGAGAATCTGACAGCATCTGCAGTTTCTGTACTCGCCAGCCGGGGCAGAGGCGTCGCTTTGTCACCTCGTTACTCACCCACTTGGCAGTACAAGACTAGGAGAAGCAAAGCGAGAAGGGCCAGGGGAGTTACAGGGCGCCAGAGGAGGGGCGAGCGGAGGGGCGGAGGAGGGCGCGAGGGCAGGGGGCGCGAGGGACGGGCGGGGCGAGCAGAGTGTGGAGGGGGCACGCAGAATGGGGGCGGGGGAGAGCAGAATGGCGGG